TAAAATTTTGTACCATCTCTATTCAGCTATGCAGTGAGTATTATTTTCTCCAGCATCAAATTAAAAAACCAGTCGATAAGGAATCGCATTTTCTGAAACCTCACTTAGTATCGAACTGCTCGGAGAGGTCCTTTCCGATTCTGACAAAGCTTTTAGTGTTGCTCAGGGTGAGTTTATGTAGCCGTATAAGTTTTGCGGTGATAAAGGCAGCTCTTTATCATGCTATCGAAGGCCGCTTTAAAATCAACGAAGAGGTGGTATATGTAAATTCTCTTTCCACGGTTTTTCCAAGATTTGGCACATGGTGAGTATCTGGTCAATAGTTGTCTTACCATTTCAGAAGCAACACTGAAACTGAAGGTGCAATCAGTTTGTTGACGGTGGGCTTCACACAATACGCTTGACAGGACCCTACATGCGATGTTAAGAAGGCTTATTTCACGGTAATCGGCCTAGCAGAGCACACTTAGGATCCAATCGTCAGGCATGCTTTCATCAGACCATTTTTTTTGGCTGAATTTTCCGACTGTTGTTCCAAAAATACCTTCTTTGCCAAGCACATTTTTGATCCGAATCCGACACCAAATTTGTGCTCCTTTCTATGACCTCTGTAGTAAATTTCACAAGGACCCACCTTCCATCCTTGTCCAGTAGCGGAAATATGTATATATATGATTCATCGCATTCGCGGCCCGGCTCCCACGTCACTGTTGATGCCAGAGATAACTTCGTCTACCTTGAAACCAGTATTAACACCAATAACAATATCAGCCTGAGATCCAACGCAGAATTACTCTTGCCAACAGGTGCTACTTTATACCAAGTTCGCAATTAAAAAATAAAGTCCTCTTCCGACGAATGAAAACCAAACTCTATAAGTCCCTCATCGCTCCCGTCCTGCATGGACGATGACAACTTCTGATGAGTCGGTGTTAGGAGTTTTCGACAGAAAGTTTATGCGTAAGATTTAAGGTCCCCTACGAGTTGGTAACGGCGCCTGCGGTGATGGAATGAAGAGCTGTACGAGTTATACGGCGACATTGATATAGTTCAGCGAATCAAGAAGCAGCGGCTTCGCTGGCTAGGTCATGTGGTTCGGATGGATAAGAATACTCCAGATTTGAAAGTTTTCGATGCGGTACCCGCGGGTGGAAGCAGAGAAAGAAGGTGGAAGCGTTAGAAAGACCAAGTAGAAAGGGGCAAGGCTTGGTATCTCCAATTAGCGCCAATTAGCGAGAAAAAGGAATAAATGGTGCAAAGTTATAAATTGGGCTAAAATCGCGTAAGCGGTGCGAACACCTGTAAAGTTAGTAAGTAAACCACTAACTTGCCGGTATACAATAGAGGAGAACACCAATCTTTAAAAACAAAAATCGTGAGGAAGTTATATACTAGATTTTAAGCAGTGAAGGTTCAAATATAGTGAATATATCAAGAGCTGATGTGTTCTTGATTATAGCCGAAATAGACGCCGGGAGGCTTATAAATTTTTGCAGAACTTATTATTGCATCCCTGGAATGGGCGTGTGCTAAACGAATACCACCGAATAAGTGAAAGCCCTCTTGGTCAATGTGGTTGGATGTTTTTCGTGAATCGTGCAGAAAACTTATTAATAAAATTTCGAATAAAATTCAAGTATAAGTTAATGTCTGACGTCATCTTTCGGGTTATGGATGAATCAAGCAAATCTTGTCTGTGGTCCCACATTCCCCTAGGAAAAGAAATACTCTAAGTGTCGCCCTTTTTTATAAGTTGTGCTTTGTAAACGCTAGAACGATATTGGCTGAGACCCTCCTCTAATTTGTTTTGTGCGACTTGATGTTTTTCCTAAAAAGGGAGGGTCTCGCAATGCTTAGCTGGCTCTGATGCTTTCCTCGATGATTTACCTAAGATACAAGGCTTCAAGGTAAGGTATTTGATGAAATTTACAAATAAACTGACAAGGATGGATAGCTAAGCTAGTGATTGGGTAATCTTCTTGGTATCACCATGGTACGGTGGTCTTTTTTAACAATGTCAAACGCCTTCAATTAAGAAAAAATGAAATACAAATTATAATAAATAAATAAATTAACGTATAATTACTATTTTCATACTTGCTGCGGGTTTCAAATAGCTCACAAGCGACATAACGCGGTCAAGCTATAGCTTCATTTATACCTTCTTCGCGGTAGAGTCTGACTGAGAAACCAGATTTTAATTCTGCCAGAATTACACTGGTCCCATAATCAATGTGGCCAATTAAAAGTATTTAGATCTCCATTAGACAGAGCACGAAGTTGATAATGGTTGATCTTCACTTGATGAAATTGTGCTTCTTCAATCCTTTAAGACTTTGAGTGACGTAAAGACAAATCTTCTTTATAAGCGTATTCTTATAGTCAAAAGGGTTCCTCGTAATTGATGAGTTTAATAGTGAGACGTTCATAGGAATTTCCTCAAAAACACTGATATTTTAAAAACTACTTTCACCTATTAGATAATATACGAGGTAGAGGTAAGTTCAAAGCTTCTGAACACTTAATTTCCAAATATTTACTAAATTCAAGGCCCAGCGGTTATCTTGCGATTATTTGTAATATTATATGTCACTGATACTTGTCGTGCCGTAAATATATCGTACTCTTTCCATATATTTCCACTTAGAAAGTTCTGTTAAACATTAAGTACATGTGTACATGTAAGTATGTATTTTTTCAAAACACTTCAACAACACACTTCATCGAAATTCAAGAAAAGAACTGGTATTAAGTCATTAAATTTAGAATTTTGCCGCAGGTTTTGAATTCAGACACATCAAAAAGAGTTAAGCATATGTTTATAAGTATATATATAGTACAACAATAAAAATTTCACTTTCCAAAAACAAAAAAAAATTTATATATAAATAAACTCGTACATTTTGCTGTTGTATGTTACAGAGAGTGAGACCTTAATATCCGGTTGTAAAGAACTTTGGCAAGACAATAAAACAAAACATAAACAATTTTAATATATTTCTTTATTTTTACAACTGACAAATAACCATACGCTTACGGTACAAGTATGTACATATGTTTGTATTCTAGTCTGTAATAACACAAGCTTGTAGTAAAAATGTTGTCGGCAGCGGCTGGCTAGCGAGTTTATTATGTTAAATGTTTGATGTTTGTGGTAACAGTGTTGGTGGCGCGCGCTACCTTCAAATGCCAAGCAGGAATTTTTCGGTGGAATTCATTATATTAATTTAGCGAAATTAGGAAAATTAAAATAACTTAGCGGCAAATTTAGTAATGCTAATTCGCTAATTAAATATAATGACTATGAAAAAGTACTTTTTTATTTTATTAAGGTTAAAAAAAGAGAGTTCGGGAAATTACCTGAGTATTTGGCATACGTTTTATGCCAAGATGAGAAGATATCGTACCCTTTATAATTGGATCTTACGCCTATTCGTAACTGGAAACAGTAAAGGAAATTTTCGCTTCAGCAGCTATCGATTACACTCAGGGTTAATCATGAGTAGTAAAAGCATTTTTTTCTTCATTTTATTGTAGAAACAGAGTTTCTTATATTTGCGCATAGATATGTGATGCCTATGTCATATCAGTGTTGCAGTCTTTGTGGTTTTCGCATATTTTGAAGTTTTGTTTAGCTGTGCTGCACCCTTACCTCCATTTTAATAAAAAATGTCAGTTGTTCATTGTCATTAAAAATGAGTTAGTTGGTCGCATAACTGCTGGACCAGACGAAAAAATTGCTTGTGAATGTTTAAAGTTTGAATTTAATATTTTTTGGTACTTCCATTTTTTGAAAAAGATAATAGAAGAGAGGAATAGCTCTTGACTAAGTTTTACAATTACCGATCCTCCGATTCTTATTTTTAAGCCAAATGTAAAAGTTTCGTTTCGAAAAATGAGATCGTGAAATTTAATATAATAAATAAATAATAATTTAATATAAGCATAATGAATGATCTTGAGATTATCTCCATAAATGGGAGAGAGTTCAACGGCCGGCTACTATACTGGAAACAGGGGCACTTCCATCAACTTCCTCAAAAGCTCTGTTAAATCTCCTCAAACGGGCTAATGAAATCAGACTGAATGCAACTCAATCTTGGAAAAATTGCAGTTTAGGACACACAAAAACATTATATCTTCCAGAAATGCCGAAGGAGCTGCGCTACACTACCCCCCGTATGTACTTCGAAAATCTGTTCTCCAGGAGAATCCCAAACAGGTGGCTCGAAGCATGATGGATAAGTGGACTGCGGAATTTATTCTCCAATGCTCTCATTGAACTTGAGCATGAGACTACCAGAGGAACATGGAGGCCGCAGGGTGAGCAATCGGTTAAAATATACTCCTTCAGTCAATATGCCATACGGTTTCTAGAATGTAAGATTACCACATCAAAAGTGCCCATAAAATGTAGGCATTTTTTTAACAAACACTAAACTAAATACAGCACTACCGTTGTCTGCGTGCATGGACAAAGGGACATTCTTAAACTGGCCTTTACAAAGGAAGCTGACTCAAGATGGTTGAAAGAGCTCAGACACAACGTGACCATACAGCTACGGCCGCAGCTGGCCGCGAAAAAAAATATCTTATCCTTCCAGACCGGTTCCCCATTAACATAACGACTGGCATAATAACTGGACTGGACTGTCTCTGGCTGATATCGTTTATATCAGAACTAGTCTTAAACCGATTGAAGGAATTCGGAATAGTTTTAAGGGATTTTTGGGCAAGGATACTTTTACTTTTTATCAGAAATACACTCGCAGTGGCTAAAGAGTCGAACACCCATTCTTAACCACTCGTAACTTCAAAACCATTAGATGTATATTCGGAGAGATTTCGTAGAGAGTTCAGACCTATCAAGTATTTTTTAAGGCTTGTGCAAAAATTCATCGGATTCATTCCAAATCAAATAAAAATCAGCATAAAACAATTCTTAACACAGATTTTAACAGATCCAGCCAGGTTCGACTGTTGAGTCAAGTCAGTTAGAAGATATTTTCGAACTATGTCAAAATTTATTCGGAAATTTTGAAATCAGTTCAAGACATTTTTTGTAGCAAATTCAGATTTAAACTTTGCTCCTTAGGCTTTGCGAAGAAAAATGCCGGTTTATCGTAATAAACTCAAAAACAGTTCAGAGTTACTTCTTGGTACTGTTCCCAAATGATTACTGAATCATTTAGGTAAAGTTCAAGGCTGATTTCCAATGAGTTCGGTGGTATATAAAAACCAGTTCGAGATTTAATCAAGATTTGTTACAGATTGTTTCGAAGCGTATTTGAAATATTTAGCAATTAGGCCTGGAAGACGTGTCCTCTGAGAAAACCTAAATCATGGGTTCGATTTTAATGGGGCAGGTACGCACTATTTTCAAAGTGATTCCGTGTTACTTGGAACTCGTAACTGCTTGCAGCGAGTTGTTGAAAATAATTTCCTACAGCCACATTTTGTTCGGGTAAACACCACAAATATTAAGATAAGCAGCAGTGTAAGTGTTGAAAAGAACACCAAATATGTTGTAAGCAAGTTTAACACAAAAATAACTGTAAGAATAATTTCACTTTTATAACATTCGTCTCAGCTGGCCCGGACACAAGTAAGCAGGTAGAACAAACGCCCAGAAGTGAGTGACCAAGCCAAGCAGTTGTGGTCATAAAGTATAAGCCACTAAGCAAGCATAAAGTGGCCACGATGCTCAATAAACTAATTCATACATACATATATACATATGTACGCAGAGCCACACACATTTGCATACATTTCGTTTGCACAGCCAACTGCAAATTCAAATTCAGTCCAACTTTGTCGGTGTACCGCAAAAGTAATAGTAGTTAGTCGTAAGAAATAAGAGCCAAGAAAAACTGTGTAGAAACAATTTGAAGTGTTAAGGAGTCTCCACCGTAAAATTGTAGAGAAGTGTTGAGAGCTGTTAAACAAATTGGCACAAAAAAGTTTTCAAATAAAACCGAAAAGTTTACTTTTGAACTTGAGTCGAGTTGAGACGAGTCGAGTATTTAAGGATGTCATTGAAGAGTTTCATAATTCTGCTATACATGCTAGCACTGGGTGATGGCAGAGCGAGAAGCGTAAGTTTACGTTTTGAAAGAGAGAAGGAAAGTGCGAAAATGGTGGCAGGACGCGGTGCTAATGTGTCGTTTACGAGCTTTAAAGAGGCAGCATTGAACAGATCTTATACAGCGAATGTGCTTAGTAATTTGGAGAGGTCCGTGGAGGTGTACGCAAGGCCAAGATCCGTAAATTTGGGAAACAAACGGGAAGAACCAGCCACTGCACGCAAGCCACCTCATTCGATTATGTTAACCACACGTCCGACTACGCTCTTCACACCCGAACCGAAGCCTTTCAGCATACTGAGTCAGTTGCAACTGGACGAAATAAATGAAGCTCATGCGCAAAAGCAGAATCAACCAGAACAATTAAAGGCGCAGTCTTTTGCAAAAAAGAAGAAGAAGAAAAAGAAAAAGAAGAAAAGGAAAAACAAGAATAAAAAGAAACCAATTGGTGAAGACGCTACCGTACTACACTATCAACTCACCACGAAGAAGCCACATTATTATCACCACGCTGTTGTCGTGACAACAAAACCACCAAAGAAAATCAAGTACATTGTACGTAAAAAGAATGTGTTAAAGAAGAAGAAGAAGGAATATCTCAATCACTTGAAACATGTACTCTACCCGTTCATCAAGTTTATCGCCTTCTTTACGGTACTCAATCCATTCACACTGAAAGTATTTCTCTTTACGCTCATTTCGCCAGTAGTTTTTGGATTTTTAGGTTTTATGTTGCTTAGTTTTATGGTAAAACCGGCGCTTCACCTCATTTTCGATGTTAAAAAACGTGTGGATGTCATTAAGCGCAAGAAGTGGCGTGAGAAAAAACGACGTGAAAAGTGGCGGTACGGTCGACGTCCGATCACAATACATAAACATTACTATAAGAATGTGGTCGCGCCGCGTCCTCATAAACCACATCCGCCGCCACATATATCGCATCATCCACCACCATATATTGTACATGATCCACCACCGCATCTATCTCCCCACCCGCCACCGAGTTGGCCCGCGTGGTTGGGATCGGATAAAATAGATTTTAAGCCCAAACCGCAACTACAAAGTGCAAAGCCAAAACTCAGTTACAGACATGAACAACGAAAACATTTCAAACCGCCGAATTTACGTCACAACCCTCTATTGCCCGAGGTAGCAGATGAAATTGAGGATTGGCCCTATGGCCCTAAACTACAATTTAAACCTTCACGCACGACCTTACCAATGCATTTCGGCTCAACATCTTTAAAAAGCCCACAGCCTAGCGTATCTGCAGAATATGAGGATGCGCCATTTTTATAGTGAGAGAGTAATAAGCAATCGAATTTGATTTTCTATTTTAATAAAAAAATATTAAATAAATAACTAATATTAAGTACAATTTATATACAATGAAATAAAGACTGCTCGAAATTAATTGAAGATGTTCGTTCTATCATCTTCGTCGAATCGTAGTTGAAAGATAATGAGAAAGAGTTAGGCTCATTTTTCACTAATATCAATTCGTTGGTATATTTTCGGTTTCTCAAATTAAATGGAGAAAGTTCAAGGTACAAATATTCCTCATTGAATCGTTCCCATGATTTAGTAATTCTCGATCGATTTACGAAAAGACTGTTTACTGAATTCGTAGGTTGCAATGAGTCGGCCGCGGTGCCGAGTAGTTATCACTGCGTACTGCCTTATTCACAAGGCCCGTGTCACCAACATCCAAAAGTTTAAGAAAATTAATTTAGATAAAAAATTTAGCTAAATGTTCTAATTGCGGTCGCCCCTCGGCGGGGAATGTCAACCCCTATGCGTGTATTTCTGATACGAAATAAAGGCTTCTCGGAAAGAAATCATCAGTCGTTCGCAGGCGGCTTAGTATAGGCCATAGATCCCTCCATTTGTTGGAAACACATCAAGACGCAAAACCACAAATTGGAGGAGGAGCTCTGCCGAAAATCGTTTAAGCGGTTACAAAGCGCCCATTAGCAAACAATTTCAGTTCTTTTAATTTTGGAGAAAACACACGATGCTTTACTCTATATTGTTTTTACATAGTCACAGCAGCGACCGCGTGATTAGCAGGATAATGCGAATTCGAAGGTCGATCGCCAAGATCCTGAAATAAAAATTTTTGTGATTGCGGTGCCCCTTGGCAGGGCCTTGTTAGCGTAAATTAAGGTCCTTCCATTTGCGAGAAGAACATCTAGGCTCATGCAACAAATTCCAGCAGGCGCCCGGCCGGAATACTTTTCAGTAACTATAACATATGTACATACATACATATGTATACCAGGTCTAATAGAAAATAATTCAATACTTTTGCAAAAGAATGGATGCTTCATTTACCATATCTAGAATTGTCTGATTTATGTCAGAAATGCACCGTTTTGCTCGATAAGCTTTTGTCATTTTGAGGGTTACATCTCTCTCATAAAAACCCATGCCATGAGACAGAACCATAGACAGAAACAGATGTAATCAAAGCAAAGACGCTGTTGGACCATTGCTTTCTTCCGATGGCCCAAATGCTGACAGCACGGTACAGTCAGATAGTCCGAATAAAGAGTGCATAGCGGTTGATTTGTAACCAACTCTAACATACACTCAACAAAACTTTCTTGCCCTTTTCGCTGGTTTGTAGCCCGCTTGTGCCGGCTTTCTGTCCATCGGCCACGTTTTTGTTTGACTTTGCTGTAAGTGATCCAAGTTTTATTATTAGCCACTGCCCGCTTCAGAGATTTGTCGATGTTTTTTACGATTCATCAGCGATTCGCAGATGGCAATTCGGTCCATGAGGTTTTATCGCATTAACTCATGTGGCATCCATACATCGAGATTCTTCGTTTATGCAGTCTTTTTGAAGTGCTTGTAATGTTTAGCTCCAGGGCAATCGAAACGATTATCGACGATTTCGAATGAATTAACGATATTTTCGACAATTGGCCTTCCACACCGTGGGTCATATTTTATATCAAAATTAACTCAGTACGAGCGCAATTCATATTTTTAGCTGCCTAAATTCGAGGAAAATTTTTAAAATTTTTCGTATTTTCTCTATGTTGGTATCAATGTTTGACATGCGCTCAAAAACTACTGGAATAGTGATCAATATTTCTTTCATTTTCTTTTTTAGTACAAAATATCAGTTTTTCTAACGTCATCCAGTGTAATGCAACCGCAATTATAGAACGCAAGGTAGAGATCGCTATTACTTTTTACAAAGAATTGAGCGAATAGTCGAAGCTATAATTTTTTGAAAATCGAGAGCAATAACTTGGTTGGCCGTTGGCTTCATACATGTATTTCTTCAAAAATATTTACAGCTTTTCAAAAACTCTTGACAAACTCGATTGATTCATCACTTTGTGTTTGAGTTTTTTTATAGCAAAACAATGTTCGCTGATTCAAATCACAAACTCAGTAATTCTCACAATGATAATACTAGAGTTACGTGTCGTACCTGAAATAGAGATTGTGATGAAGTATGACAATAGGATGCTATTCTAATGATTTCTACGGCAGTTGCAGGGACGAAGAAGTTACTCTCCGTTCCCAACCTCCGTTCCCAACTACCGTGCTACATCAATATATTGGGTTAATTCGGTAACTCCGCCGGCTCACAGCTCTCATAAGGAATCTTAGAGAATTCTTAGAACACACTAAATGTTACGGGCATTTTTGAAGATGACAAGTACCTCACACCAGTATCATAATATACCTATGTTCCGAAGGACGCAAGTCGCGATCACCATGTGTTTTGAATAATCGTTTGTACACATTCTGGTAAGGGAAGTCGTAGCAACGGATACGTTGCTTTGCGATACCTCTCGAGTAATCGTACTATTAATATTCCCAAGTAAAATTTAAGCATTTGCATATTGCAAGCTCAAAGCTGAGTCGAGCCGAGTGTAGCTATATGCATAGGAGTTAATATAAATTCGCGCTGGCTATTTTCAGCTATGACTTACCTAATAATTTAATTGTATTGCTACGTCGTTTATAATCAATAGGGAACTCTGGCGATTTTATAAACAAAAAATTAAATTATTAGAGTTAAAGCAAAATTCAATCTTGATTCTCGCGTCCACTCTGCTATACCCAATTTTGATTAGCGTCGATTCGATAGGAATCAGCTTTGCGCTCGGAAGTAATTAGTAAAATTAACGTCACTTCCCTGAATGACACGGAAAGTTCATCGTTGTATCTTGTTCAAAAAGGGCACCCTCTTTAAGTCTTTTAAATGCTTTTGCTGGTGACTAAGGAGTAATGGCATAATGGCCGCCTGGGTATCTATAAATAAATATACTATCCTTCTATGAAGTATTGCTCTTTGTAATACTTCGCCGATATTTCGCCGAATTTATAATGATATGTAAAGCTTTATCGTAATTCTCAGTCTATTGTAGCTGTATTCGTAATCATCTCTGTACTATTGTGCACGTATGTCTTCATTCGCAGCTGATTTATTTTGGGAAGGGTCTGCATCTTATTTATGAGCGCCATGTTTTTTACCTCAATGTCCAATCCCTTGCATATCCAGGTCTGATTATTCATCAAGGTTTAAAAAATCGTCAATAAATGCTTCAATTTATAATTGCAAAAAATCTTCCTTAAAAATATATTTGCTCTCATTTTGTAGTTGAACATTTTTTAACATAAACATTTGCCGAAATTTTTTTATTTAAGTCATTTTCCGTTTATCATTAATCCCATTGACTTATATATCTACATATGTATACATATATATATATATATCTCCCATAAAACCTTACAAATGTGTTTAAATTTTTTTTAATTACGGATTCACCAGCGACTTAATTAGCTCATCATCAGCCGAAATATCCATATGATAGAAACGTGAACGACGCATCAGTTTCTCCTCATCATCCATCAGTCCATAGACCTCGTCAATCGGCAGCGATACTTCAATCTCATTCGGTGTCAACAACTTACGTGCGTCCTTACGGAAATTGTCAATCGTCTTACGCATATCCTCATGAGCCAAAATGAAACTCTTGAGTGAGGCAATTTCATTCTCTTTGGCACTACGCAGGTATTTCGATTCGATTTTATCAATATCGGCAATGAGGCGTATGAAGAGGAAATCCGCATAGCGTTTCTTCACCTCCAACTGCGAGAGTTCGTCAAACCAGGTGAATGAACGTGAGTTCATAACTATTATGAAAGCAAGAAAAATGACTTTAATGAGTACAACAACCATGATGAGTATGAGTGCAAAATGCTCAAGTTCATTGTAGCAGAAATCGAGTAGATCTTTCCAGTAAATCAGGTCACGGCTGTTGTGCTTGAGCTCGTAGTGTAGGAAGCCGATGAACACAATCGTGAAAACGGACATGAACCAAATGTACGGATAGTTTACTTGAAAGAATTGATGCAATTTCAGGCAAAATTTCCGAACTGACAACATGTTTTGTTGCTTTTTAATGACAAAATTTATACTATTTTTTCCTTGAAGAAAGAATTTTTTTTTTTGAAATTTTGTGCTGAATTTTGACAAAGAACGTTTATATTTTTTATACTCTTTTCGGGGTTTCGTTTAAAATTCCAAAAGTTTTTTTTTGCTTTGAAAGTTTTTATATAAAAGACTGGAAGAATTGTATTGCCAACTACATAAAAGAGATTTAAAGTGCATTGAAAATATTCAACTGAGTTTAAAAAAGTTGCGAAAGATCTAATATGTGTTACCGTTACTACGAGCAAAAATATACATTAATAGTTCACTCAGACGCAGTCATTAGCACAGCTCCAGGTGGTATACTTTTTAAGTCCTTAATAATGAAACGGCTGGACGTGGAAATGTTTTGACCATCTGGTATTTCCATCTCTCCGAACTCGATTGGCACAGCCTGATCCTCTGAACGTCTTATTTTAAGAAAGTTAGTGACCTGGTGATGTATAAATCTCTATACTAATCCTTAATTAAAAACTGTTCTGAGTAACAAACATTGAAGGAAGACAGAGTGAGGCTTTTGCTGAGGCGGCATCGTTCTGCTGTCAAACCTTTCAGGAAAGGAAAATGGAGATGAAGCTCTTTTTAAAAAGAGCCGTGTTTTTTGTATGGTTTATATAAATGACGGAGCCCTCATACAGGCTTCATGCTGAAGCTGTTGTGATTAAAGCAGGTTAGCATTAGTCTGCTTAACTTATGGATTATTTTGACCTTTAACTCGCTTACAGGGTTATTAATAATTCGGTAATTCACGACTGAATATCAGTTCGAAGACGTTTACGTGGGTTATCGTGGTGCCGGATAGCCGGATTTGGGAGTAATGCCCTTTTGGTTCAGATTCAGTCCGGTCGAGGAAGCTCGCGCACAACTCCAGCATATGGAGAGTCTATACTCGCATATATCAAAATTCAACTCAGATGGATTCTTGAAAGCCAGCCTTGCTCGGAACTAACTAACCCAAGGTAATTGCAGATTTTAATATACAAATATTTCCATATACAAACATATAATGCAATCACCTTGTGTGTAGCAGGGAAACCTTCGTAGTATTCCCGTGTAAAGTGAAAATAAATAATAAAGTCCAACACACGCGCCAATCTGCATACAATGGCGTTCATTTGTTGACATCCTTCGTTTGCGAGAAGTTGTCATGGAAATCTTATTGTCGTTAGAAAATTTTATTGATGCTGCACACAATATTTATATGATTTTGATGCAACTTCAATGCGAATTCAGGCACACACTATATATGTATGTATACATATGTACATACACATGGACAATCATCATAGTAAAAATCCATTTACATTCAAGCAAGCAGACACTTATATATTTTATTTACTCATATACATACATACACTACGAGTACATATGCATGTACACGTCAATAAATATGTGTAAGCATGTGTGCAATCACACTTCCCGCCAATATGCCCGTTGCATCCAACACCATATGTGGACGTGCGCTCACGTTTTTTCCAGACATTCTTCGATATTGCAAATTTATTGAAATTCCTGTCTTTGACACCTGCTCCATTGGCTTTACAAATGATCTGATTTTTATGTGTACATTTTTATATGAATTTTGTTTTGTTAAAAACGCTTACAACAACAACATACATGTACGAGTATGCACTTTTGGTATTATGAGAAGAGGTGCGAAATAAAATATGCCTTTACTTGCCTTTTACCCACCTTCCGCTTCAACTAAAGATATACGCTTTTTTATTTCGTAACAAGTAAAAAGTTTATGTTCGTCTATGAAACACGAAAACTTCAGAAAATGTACGAAATAATCATATATGTAATACATAGTTCAGATTGATATTTACTTAATTTTAACTTATTTTAACTGATTTTATTTTTGTTAAAAAAATATTATTTTTATTAATTACATAACTACATTTTGGAAGCCACGATGATGTGCAAACATTTATTTCAATAAATTTCGGTTGAATAAATAACATCTCTCACCAAGCTCACTGCATTAGTTTGCCGGGATTGATTCAAATTGCTCCACAGGGGCTTGTCGGCCGGAATGTTCACATACTTAAGTACATATATTTACACTAATTATAGTAGCCAATAGCGCTGTGTGAATGGAAAGCTTTTAATTAATCAATGTTGTCAACAGTTTTCTTAGTTTTTCTCAGCTCAGCCAATATAGCAACAAGCTGTGCTGCTCCCACGTGTCGTTTCAAAGCCTATGTGCTTGGAGACCACTTTTATAGGTAAAAATATAGGAATATACATTGGAATATGCATATATGCATACATACGTGTATATATGTATGTAGCAAGTTGCCAGGGCAACAGGTAGAGCATGCAAACATATCTATGTGTAAATGAATTTTCACATTTAATTTTAATTACACAAAAGCAAAGTGAACAAAGACATACAATCACATACTCGTACATACTGAATGATATCACACATACAAGAGTAAGTAAACACACCTGTCGAGACACGTGCCTTGCTGCTACTGCATGTAGGTGCAGAGAAACCTGGGAAAAAGTTATGATTTTTTCACACTGCCTTTTTGTTGCAGATTTGTACACGTATGTGTGTATCAACTGTGCAACATAAATACACATTATATTGAGTGTATTCATATTGCTATTAAAAGGTGTTATGAGTAGCTTTTCATGCTCTACCGTTTCGTTTTTGTTATTGATGTTGTTGCCTGTTCATGTGGCTCAACTTAAATGTTAATTAAAGCGCAATAAATTCCAATTATACTCAATTCAACTCTATAACTTTTCACCCCTCACCCATCATGCCGTTTCATTAACGATTTGCACAAAGTTGTGGTTGCAATATTATATGTTTACAATACAATATATCTACATATATAACATATATATTTGTAACCGAAGTTAATCACCCATGGATACATACGTATTAAATTACATACATTTGTTCAAATGTCAATAAATTAGTCTTTAGCAGAAATTTTACGTGGAGTCGGTCTCCTTGGCGATGCTTTTATAACTCAATAGGAATTAATAAATCACATGAGGTTAACCGCTTCAACGTTTCTCATCAAGTACAGTACAAACTTATTTATGTGTATGGTAAAAGCTATGCAAACATATTCGTAAAAAAAGATGAGGTCCAGTTGTGGAAAAACTTGAAGGAAAAATTAAAAAAAATAATGTAAAATAAAATGCAATAAAAAGAAATAAATATTCTCAAATAAACTAGAGTAAATAAAATAAACTTAAGTAAAAAAAGTAAAATAAAGTAGAGAAGTAAAGAAAGGAAATAATATATCATAAGAAAAAAAGATAAAATAAAATAAAATATTTTGAAAATAAATAAAGATAAAAAATAATAAATAAATTATATTAAATAAAATAGAATAGAATAAAATAATTTTTGTTATTAGTATCAAGTAAACTAAAGGCCTGGTTTGTTTGTATGAATTGAATATTTTGTGATGAATTGAATAATACAACAACAGATTACATGGCTGATGTTGGCGTATTGGTAGAGCGCTCGCCTGTTAAGTCAGGATCCCTTGGTTCGATCCCTGCCATAAGAAGTCTGATGACGAAATGTAGTGATCTCCGAAACAGCTGTCACTTCTCCCAATTTTCTTTGTTGTGTAACAAAATATTCAATTCATACAAACAAATCAAGACTTTAATTTACTTAATACTTATGTAGGAATCTACTTTAACAATTTAACTTACAATTTTCAATTTTTTAATTTACATGTTACTGATTTTTCGATTTGATTTGAGTCGTGCTCTATAGTTATAACAAAAATAAATATCATATGGCCGCTAAAACAATTCTGAAATATAAAACAAATTAGAATAAATAAAAACATAAAAAAATAAAGTAAAGCAAAAACATAAAATATTTTAATATGAAATAAAATAAAATACAATAAAGGAAAAAATAAAATAAAATAAAAATTAAAGTGAAAAATGCACAAGAGATATATTTAAAAAAATAAATTAAATAAAAACAGTAAATACGTGTATGTAAATGAAATAACACTAATAAAAGGAAATTAATTTAAATAAGATAGTGTTGAACTTTTACTTATTGGTTTTTTGGGGAAATATTTCCGAGAATATAATCTTTAAAAAAACCGAAAAGTGTTTAGCGAAAAATTCATTACTTACTCCTTTCACTTTAGTATACTATAAACTTGCTCTTGTCGGCTACTCTCTGCAATTTCCAATATCTGGTTGGTTCCGCATCTAAATACATTCAAATCCTCGAAAAAATGCAAATTCTAAATCCGCATGTAAGCCAACTCCGCCGGTGGCAACATGGCCACAACAAAACAAACAATTTAGTAACATATGTCCATATGTGCAAGTAGCAGTGTGCTAGTAAGTGTGCATGTGTCGAAATATTCTGATGGGCGTGGTTTTGTTTTGTTGATTTTTCGATTTGAAAATTTTCAAATTTTCACTTGCATAACTCGACTACACCCACGATTGCACAATAATTGTGAATATATAAATATGTTATAATGTATACATTCACAATATTTTGGTTATCTTACAAAGTTTGTCCCGTTAAAAACGGGACTGCTAAAAAGCTGCTAATTATATAATTTTGTAGGGATTCTCTTATGAATAAATTGTGAAGATTTGAATTTTTAATATTTCTGGTAAGTCTTTTTCTTTGTGGGACAATGTCTGTTGCTTTCAGCGATTGTTGAAAATTCAACCTCTGCGCACCAGAGTCGGCGTGTATGTCACTTTTCTGTGATCCACCTCCGCTCTATTCCTCTTGTTGCAGCAGCACTTGAACGAGTAGCAGCCACATTGATGTGGTGCGGAAATTATTGGCTTGAGTTTTAATTAAGTCGCGATCTCCCACAGTTTGTTTTATTGATCACCGTCAGCAGCAGCAGCAGCAACAGCAGCAACAGCAGCAACAGTGATGGTAAATAAACACGAATTTTAAATGAATCGAAGCACCAAATATCAATGGAATGTAAAATATGTACAATCAGCGCCACGCACACATACACCTTCGCATAGAAATACAATACATTAATAAATACA